TGATGTGTAATTAAAAATTTACTTCTTTTAAAAAACTCTTCGAGGCCCCCAAATTACGTTAGCATCAGTGCTTCAGCAAAAGAGGCTAAATGTTATGATTATTTAAAAGTGTGAGCTGATCATTTATTTAAGACATGGAAAAACTCTTGGAAATTTGCAAAAACTGCATGAAATCTGTTGGCAATCTGCGTGTGACATATTTGGCATTATCTGCATCTGAAAACTCAACAGCTCACAACTGCTACTGTGATGATTCAAGGGGCACTCCCAACATTAAGCAGTGTATTGTCCTCAGGATCACTTTATGAACTGGATTTTTCAACAGATCAAAATCCAGTTTTCAGCAGATAGTAAGAAAGGGGAGATACTTCTGATAGCTCTAAGTGGGAAAAGCATGAAAGCCCAAAGGCTCCACTTGACTCAGTCATCTTAAACTGAACACTGACCATTAGCATTTAGATGTCAGTAGTCAAGTCCTTCCACTAATTTCAGTGGACTTTTGATCAGGCCTTAAATGGTCATGATATGCTCTTTCTAAACATTACTAGAAGCTAATATCTATCAGTAACCATCACAAACTAATACCTGTCATCCATCAATGACAATCTAACATCTACATAGGGTATAGATGTTACTATTCATGTTATTAATTTTCTAAAATAATTAATCTTAGAATTGTTTTAGCTAAACGCTCCTTGGTACTTATGAAGAATGCATAGTACCAGGGGCAGATCTAGGATTTTGAAAAGGTGGGTGAACATGGGGGATGACATTTTTCTCCAGTTAAAGAGAAACGAGAAGCTAAAATAATAAGCTAAATCAAGAGCTTAGGAAACTAATTTGAAATTGTGAAAATCAAAAAAAGCTATTTTTGGACTACACTGTATATGCCAAATATATTTCTCATAAAAGTACTAATATGAAAGTATTATCATTATATATGTGTCCTGAAAGAAGGCTACACTGTACAAATTACATTTATGTCTTTTTTCAGGAACAAATCTCTTTTATAGAGTTTGACCCTGCAAGGCAGCAAACAATGCAACTCTCATCCAGCAAAGCACTTAAGTATATGCTAAATTTAAGAATGTGTTGGGCAGATAAACTGATGCAAAAACAACTGTTCACCATGTTTCAATGATTTCATGGATCAGGACTAGTGCTCACCACCTTGCAAAACCAGCACCAGGCCCAGTATCTATACCCAACATATATCTGTGATTTTGCACAGCTTTTACTAGCTACAAATTTTCTGATGCTCTTCAAGCCTGCAAGGTCCATGGCTTTGGAATTATTTTGTGATCACTGAATTTACTTAATCCTTTCACTGACTAGCAGAAGCAGCATACAAAAGAGAGAGCCTTTGTACAGTCTCTCCACAGGATTTTACATCGTAACAAAGCACTGCTGGAAATGAAGAATTGCCACAGTGTGTTGCCCAAGTGATTACTTCCATCATGGCACTGAAAGGGTTCCGATTAATTTGATATTGTACAACATGCTCCAGAATTCAAGAAAATAGGAAACTGGGCTCTTTCCTTGAGAATCCCTATGTGGAACTAACAATAAGAAATGCTAAATTTATCCCCAGAAAAACGCTCAAAGTTGATACTTTAGTATTCAGTCGTATTTTTAAAAAAGAAATTCAAAATGCTTTAAAACAATCAGTAAGGAAAACCTATTTCTTCTTTCTGTGTTTCAAAGTATTCCAATAACTTGAATTTTGATGACTATGACTGCTGTTGTTGTAATCATTAAATGTCAGACCACCAAAGTATTAACCCCTTTCCCCCTCCCCCAAGAATTTGGAACTCACGAGGCAAGCTGTTAGGTTCTTTTCCCTTCTACAAATAAGTGCTTGACGTCTCCCAGGAATCCAGTCTCCATGTGAAATGCCTAGCTTGACCTCTAGGTGCTAAAAGATAGCTGTACTTAATAAACCTTCCCCAAAATACCACAGTCAAGTTCCAACTGCCTAGTTAGTGGGAGTCTAAAATAATTTCTCTCTTATGCCAGACACCACATCCTTTCAGGTCCATACCACTTATCCAGCTGTCTGCAGGCCCAGAATTTTGGGGAGTTCCTTGTAAGGACAGGTATAAAACATAATGAAATACTTTATTCATATGCAGCCTTTCTTTTTAAAGAAAATACTAGAGGAAGAAAATGAAGAAGATAACTTCTAATTCAGTCCATCTCATTTTGTGTCCCAGCAGCACAATATTTAGATAGCATTATGTGCACACCGCATATGTCTGCAACTCCAACAAAAGAAATAAGGATGCATTTTACATTAATCCTGACTAGCAGCTGTTAACAATTTTCTTCAGTTAGCACAGTGGGATGTGATGGAAGAGAAGACTCAATATGCTGAAGAACGAGAATAAGTACACAAGTGCTCTCAAGGACTGTGGTTCAACAGCACATTTAGTTTAACCAGGAGCTACAGAGGATAACAAATAAGAAAAAAGTTTCTCTGAAGAATGATAGATGCTCCAAGGAATTTTCCAACCAAGATAACACGTAGAAGAACAACGCATGATCTTGTGCCGTTCAACTGGTACACCACATCACCAGAAAAAAATGAGCATAATCTCACAAGGTGACCAATACCAAAAAATTATATAAGGGGGGAATGGAGTTTAAGTTGTCACCATTACATTAAGTACTAGACAACTTGCTAACCGATAATGCAGCAAGAAACATTGACAAAATAAGTAAATGAAAAAAAATCTGCAATAAATGCAGAAAAGAGATACTTGATGAAAGAGTTGTAATGTTGAAAGAGATGTAATGTAGAAGGCTTGTTGAAAGATGTAATGTAGAAGCCTTGAAATATGGGCCCATATCTAGCCACCTAAATTTAACAACCACAAAAAGTCAACTGGCTTTCCAGAGCCTTTTTTCCCCTTTCAACTTGTTTTTATAGCTTCACGCCATAAAGTGCCAAGGGAGTTGGAAAACTCATGTAAATGAGGTGTCTTGCTCTCTGACTGTTAACAGAAATGCTTCAGGATTTGTGATCATCTGTATATGACTATATAACCATTTTCCAGCCCACATAATTACAGTAGCTCTCTTTCCCCAAGGGATGAAATGTGATGTCAACTACTCTAGTATAAAAAAGGTTACAGCATCTATTTCATTTGGGTTACATGTTTATTTAGATATGCATATTAATACTTATCATTAAATACTAGGGGCGCACCAATAGCGGTTTTTGGGGCTGACAACAATATCTGATTTTTAAGGAGGCAGATTGGCCAATACCGATGCAATTTCTGATATCAGCCTGGCAGCTTGAAGAGCAGTATCCAGCTGGTAAATCTGTTGTGGTGGAAGAGGAGGGAAAAGAAAAGAGGCATTGGGAGGCAAATCAAGACCCCCACAGTGAGGGAAGGAGTGGGGCTGCGGCAGGGGCTGGGGCTAGGGCAGGCACTGCCCAGCCAGGGCTGAGTACGGGAAAGAGCCATAGGCGGCTCATCCAGGGGGCATGGGAAGGGGGGTGGCTACCACCTCTGTGCGCACCCCGGGAGGGCATGGGGGAGTATGCTCCCCAGATCTGTGCAGGGCAGGGCAGCTGTGGGCTGAGCAGCAAACAGTGGCAGGAGCCACGCTCCCTCCCCCCAACGGCTCTGTGCCACACCCACCCCATCCTGGCTGGACAGCACTTGCCCAGCCCCTGCTCCGCTCATTCCCTCCCCAATGAGGCCTTGATCTGCCCCCCCACACCCCTTCTCTTCCCCCTCCCCTTCTACCACACCAGACTTAGCAGCTGCACACACCTCTCCAAGCTGCCAGGCTGTGCTCCTCACCACCTATGTGCTAAGCTGTAGCTGTGCGCACGCACAGGCATTTATCAGCCAAATTATCAGCTATACCAGGCTGATTTCCAATACAGACAATTTTCTTTATATCGGTGCCAGTCCGATATCAGACCAATGTATTCATGCACCTCTATTAAATACTGTCTTTCTTTACTGTTCACTAAGCATGACTTATCAGCTACAGAGAGATTAATCCCAGGAAATGACAGCAAGAGCAATCCAGTAGATCCTAAATTCTATAATGGTACTGTGCCCTAGTAATATGGCTTTACAAAATCCTGAATTTTATCCATAAACAAATAGACAGTACAAAGCATAAAGCAGAAGGTGTTCTATCCAGTCAACCCTCTCAAGAAACAAACTGCTATGATATGTATTAGCAGAATGTACATGCCTTTTCAAAAGTACCACCATGTAAAGGACATTCTGCTATATAAAAGTTCATATTGCAAAACCGATCAGTCTTTGGAAGGTTAAAGAAAAGCAAAGGTTCCACATGCATTGTGTGCTAATCTAGCAAAAGCAAAAGTATTCAGTATCAGCTAGAACTAATAACCATCTTTAACAGGCCAAACTTACACACTCAAGAGAAGATATATTCAGGACTCCCAACTCATTCATCCAAATTAAAATGTTGGCAGATAGTATTCCATAAAATATCCCTATTGTATTGTACTGTGATATGTATTTAAACAAAGGTAAAAGCAAGAAAATTGTAAAGGATTATTTAATCCTAGTAAACAAGATTTTTCAACTTGATTCAGCAACTTCATAGGCAAGTGACCTGCCAACCATCAGCAGAGATATTTCATTAAGGAAAAGCCTGTAGAAAGGGAAGCACAGCAATTCAGTACAAAAAAACCCTACTGCTGTAGGCCCTGATTCAACAAAGCACTTAAGCATATATATAGTCTAATACTAATGACAGCAAAGAATAACGTTCCTGCAAGTACTTCTCTGCTGTCTTACCTCCTAAATAACTATAAGAATAATATAAATCTAATGTGGAGAGTAAATCTAGCTTTATGTTTTTGCTGAATCCTGACCTTACCTTACTATTTCTGGAAAAGTATGTGACTGACCATGATGGCACAAGTTATTATGCTAATTTCAACATACTGCATAACAGGTAGTTAATATCCAACAGAGGAAAAAAGAATCAAAAAGGTAAAGTATATTTCTCCTCAAATCATTTTAATTCAATTTATTTTCCCACAGCCATATAAATTTGAAGTATGAAACAACAATAATACAGCTATAGAATCTGGGTTTTCTCTCAAAGCAGCAGCATATAAAACATAGAAAAGCTAAAACCTCAGCACAAGCTTCAAAAGAACAAGGACTGAGTGAATTTTGCTGAAGACATGAAATTCACAAAATACAGTACACAAAAATACTGGAATGCATAAAAGATAAAGCTACACAGATTTTAAGTAAAGAAAGGCATTGTAAAATATACAAAATTTGCAAAAAAAATTTAAATCATGGGATATTTGAGAGTACCATGAATACACAGAAATTGGCAATTAACATTTGTAGATGTAGAGAAGGAAATGGCAATTTTATATTTAGCATTCAGTTTCTCAGCCTTACGACTTCACTTTCTTGGCATCCTTTTTCCCAGAGCTCTCTGTAGCTGAATCTGCTTTTCTCTTCTGTGACTAAAGAAAAGAAATAAACAGCTTATTTTTCATCATTATGAGGAACTGCTGCTGTTAAATGTATTTTAGATACATAAAAATCTAGAAGTGCATGACTATTCAACCTAAAGACAAAGGCTCTACATTTCTATGTATTATGTACTTCAACACTTTGTATTCATAGTGCACAACACGGGTCATGAGAGAACCCAAAGAAATCACAAGTCTAAAAAGGTGAAATTCTGCTACGCTTCTTTTAAACTGAGCACTACTTTGCACCACAAATACGTTACTGGGTTCAGTACCACACACCAAGAATAAGAGTGACAGGCCAGCTTTCAGTTTGGAGTGGCACTGAATGTTTTAAAAGCTAGCATTATCACCCAGAGAACTACTTCCAATCATCACTTAACAAATTAGTCCCTCAAATAACTAGTACTTTAAGGGTGGAAGAGCAATCACAAACATCTTTGGAGACTATATATTTTCTTACAAAAAAATCACACTCTTGCAGGTGATAGATAGATATCTCTATGCTACTTAGATGGAAACCCTTTAACACAATCAAGAGAAAGGCCTGAAGTCCTATTCTCCGATAGCTCTTGCCCACAACACTAGAGGTTTCAGTATAATATTTTTTTCCTCAGCTAGCAGTTTGTATAGAAGAAATCTGAGTTTGCAACTACATAACGTTCCATTTTATTTAACTAAAATTAATATATGCTGAATTCTGTCAAACTGGAAGGTATGTGAATGCTGGTAAATTTACCGCTGGAACTTTTGTTCCCCTTTTCTTCTTTTCAGCTCTCTCTTTTTCCTCTATTTCCATGTTTTCTTTTTCTATTAATGATATGAGAGTATTGCAGCGTCTCTGAAATTCCTAAGGATAATAAGAAAATATATAACTATGGAGCAAAGAATGTACCACCAGACAGTGAACTTGTCAAATATCACAAACATATAGGCTAAATACAGATAGTAAAAAAGTCCAAGGTTGAATCAACTGAATCTTTGCAGGTCAGTCTAAGCTGCGTAGATTGAACCAATATGCAAGTGAACAGACATTCAACTTTTGGTCCTGGAAATGCAGCCACATGCCTGGAGAGGCCCAAGCCACAAGCTGGGGGGCACTAGAGCACGCCTTCCCTGCTCCACTAGAGCATGCCTCCCCTGTCTCGAGCAGGCAGCTTGGACCAAGACTAGCCCGCCCACCCTGCAAGTGGGGATTTGCAGGAGAGATGCAAAGCATCCTGGGATGCTGGGGGACTGTGAGTTAACTTGAATCTGGAGGGGATCTGGGACAGAAGCTAAATACAGCAATTTAAACTAAATCAGTTCAGTCTCATATTACATCCATCAGGGTTTATCTTTATCTAACCAGTTGTGGTCATTTTGAAAGTGTTTTTTGTGGACTGAACTTCTCTTGTGTTACAAATTTGAACCAGTTTCCGGTCACGTATACTGGTTTATATGTAATTTCTATCTCTAGCCATAGAAGCCACCTTTTAAAATCGCCCAGTTCGGAAGTACTAGATTTTCAAAGGGTTTCCGCTCCCAACAAGAATTCTGGGAGCTCCTGAGTACCAAGTACTCTTGGACATCTGGCCATTCCATTTAGATGCCTAAATGAAAGCAAAGGCTTTTTGAAAATATGACCCATTTCATTTATGCAAAAGCTTTTTCAATATAGAAAAAATACTTTTGGTCACTACTGTTTTTGTAGTCTCAACAAGGAAACCAAACGAAATAATGCTATTTTATGAGTCTAATCTACATGAGTGTGGATTGGTTTTCTGCTGTACATTCCAATGTCAGCAGGGGAATGCTCTAGAGGCATCAGCAGCAAAGGTTACTAAAAAAATTCAACTGATGCTAAGTTACTGGTAGCATCTCTTAATACAAGTTCTTATACTGGTATTTAAAATAGTTTATACAGAACCACAAATTTATGCAATGTGTTTTTCCGCCTCTTTGAAGCATTTACAATTTAAAATAAAGGAGGCAAATAAAGGACAAGAAACAGGACATGAGGGAAGTGATAGCAAAGGCATATTTCTGGTATGAGAACAAGAAATGAAGGATTCATGAGACAGACATGGGTTTAAAGGAGGGATTTGACAGGATTTGATTGGGGTTTGTCAGACAGGAAGTCAGAAACTGTTCTAAACATATAAAAAAGCATGACATGAGATCAGAGATGTAGGAAGCAGGGAGATTATACATGTAGGGCTTTGAAGGTAAGGACAAAGTCTGAATCTGATATGCTAAGAGACAGGAAGTCAATAAAGTGAGCAAGGAGGGAGATGTTGTGGCCAGAGTTTATGATCTAAATAGACAAGACAGACACTTTCATCTGTAAAGTGTTTCTTTCCCTTTGGCCCCTTGCCCTGTACAGACATTTGGTTCATGGGTCTTCCGTACACAGGACAAGAGTTTTACTGGTCAAATTGTCATGTTAGTAAAACCTCCTTGAAGAAGCCAGTCAGAATCACGGAAGAGATTTCCCAGCATTCCCTGAAATGAAAAGTTAGTTTCTTCTGCAAAGTTTCTAGTCTCAGTGTGAAAGTAGAGAGAAAGGGCAGGAGACCTACTGTGAAGCCAGAACCAATGCATTAAATTGAAAAAGAAGGCATTAAATCAAATAGATAAAGCATTTCTTTAGTGGACATATAGGACTCTGAGGACATTCTGGTTCTTTACTGCAGGTTTTCTAAAGCCTTGCCTTAGAAAACAGACACTGAACCTAGCTGTCAAATGGACTAGATACTGAAATAGTTCTTGTGAAGGTTTATGAGGAACCATGGTAGCAACATGTTATAAGCCACATAAAGCCATTCTTATATGACTTTTGACAAAGATTTTTGTTTTACCCTGCAATTATCTAATTATAATACAACACAAATCCCTTGAATCATGATCAAGGTTTCTGGTTGCTATTTTGGTTAGAATCTTTCAGAAAACTCAGATTCATGGTAAGATTGAATGGATGCAAAACACAAACATATCTGGCTGAGATCCTGCCTCTTAACTAATCTGGATGAGATTCTGCAGTTGATACATAGAGATATGCCAAGGCAACCTAAAGGTGAAACTAAAGTAGTATGGCAGTTATTAAAACTGAAGAGCAGCTACTTTCTGGAATTTTAGAAGCAGTTAGCCACTTGACATGTAGGAATTACTGCAAGACTTCTTAAATGTTTTGACCCTAGAAACAAAGCAAACAAAACCTGCCTTAAATTATTGAAAGCAAGAGAAAGCAAGCACAAGCATCTATACATAGCTGTATGGCACCTCTCTTACTGTGCCATCATTTAGTACTTTCTTTTGGAAGTACTAAAAAACAGCGCAATAACAGCCCGTATTGCACTGTGCCAGCCTCACACGCTTCTTTTTTTGGCCGCTATACCGCCATAGCAATGCACTGTAACAAGGGAGCGCATTGCTATGGCAATGTAGCAGTGGCATCATGGTTTTTGCAAATGGTCGCTACGGCGCTGTAGCACATCGCTATGGCGCCATAGCGTCTTGTGTAGATGCGCCCAGAGAGAAAGAGAGAGAGCGAGAGAGCGCATCTGATGGAAAAAAATCAACTTTTATTGAGCTTCATGGAATATACAACCTAAACCCATTCATTTGCTATTTCAATTTCCTCATACCAAGGAGAAATAAAAAGTTAATTTAGCCCCAAAGAGATAAGTAAAGTAAGAGACCTCTAGGAGGGAACCCTTCCAAGAATCTTCCATGTTTGAATTAGTATTTACTGTAGTATCTAGGCCCACAAAAAGTTGATCTGAAAAGACATGAAGGCCTGACAGGACTACTAGTCTTCTGACTGGTGAGTCTTACTTGGCTTTCCTTGAGGGAAGCATTCTTTAATCAGTAAGTATTTACTGATGCTTTTAAATCATCACCAGAAATCTGCTACCCTGAACAGCAAAGACAAAAACCTGTTTTGACAGCTAGTTAGCTATTTCTCTTTGTGAAAATAGGTTACTACTCTACCATAGAATACCATAATTGTCATTTTTCCAGAAGGTCTAATCCATGCAACTCCGCAAGCCTGTACAAGACCGGATGTAGGCAGCATGTCTGTCATGGTCCTATTCTCCAACATCCTAACCTTACCAGGTGAGGGAAGAAAAGGTCTCCAGATAATTCATAATTTTTCACCTGCAAAGTTGAGGAATCCGAAAGGAGAGTCATGAGATTCAGGCCAACGATAGCTCTAAAAACTACAGTTATTCCAGTGCAGGGGTTGGCAACCTACAGGCTGCAGGCTGGATCCAGCCTCCAGTTCAGGGAATCAGCGGCATGCTCCAGCCGGCGAAGCAGAGAAGGCATACCCAGGGTCCTACTGTCTGCTATATTTCACATTCCCTCTGGAGTATCTGCTCATTGCTGACGAGGAGTGGAACGTGCAGAGATTAACGACTTATAGTAGGAGCTAGAAGCATTGTCTGGGGCAAAGAGCTGTTCTTTGTTCTTCAAGTATGAAGCCTCATGGATTCCACTAACTGGCAACTCCCATGATAGTTGTAGGATTGAGATCACGTGAAATCAAATTGAAAATATGATATAGCCATTTCAAATTTGGCATCTACTCTGGCTGCCATAAAATTTTGTTTAACAAAGATCAGCAGATTACTCCTTATACATCTCAGAAACTGGCATATTTCTGAAGCAGGACTGCACTGCATGCACTCTAAGGGACTATGTCTTGATGTTTGGAAAGAAGTTCATCGGTTAGTTGGTACAAAGAAAAAATGCACGGAGTAATCCATTTGGAAATTCTCCAAGGTGAGATTACTTAGCCTTTTGATATGACTGATATTGCCACAGAACCAAAGCCCAAAGGAGCTTAGTCTTGTCAAGACAGTAGAAAATAGGACACTGGAGACATCCAAGTTTGTAGCTTCTCTTAACCCTGGGAAACACTAGGATTTTCTCCCAAGGCTACATGCACAGCCACAAAAGACATTGGTACCTAAAGGAGAGCATTTTTGCATTCATTTGATACTTATACACCTGAAGCAGGATAAACAACATTTTTTTTAATTTTGTGCCTCAGGTCAAATTTGCCAAATCAGTTCCAAATTGAACAGAGCTCAATGGTTCAAGTCTGTGTGACGCTACCACTGGCAAGTATCCTCCCCCCGAGACTCTTCAGCCTGGGGCTTCAAATATTCCCAAATCCACAGCAGGCATCGTACATGCAGGCCTCAAGCATGGAGGCCTTGGGGTTCAGATGCCCCAAGGCTCACTTGGCCCTAGCCAAAAGGCCAAAGGAGAAAGCTAGGGAGAAATCCCCCATCTCCACAGAAACAAAAGTGTGTAGCCAAGATCCTTCCATTGGGCGACTAGAGTAGATTACCACGGGGGGCATGTGCGCAGCACACTGGACAAGTCTCCGCCCTCAACTATACAACCTCATTGGCTACAATACTGCCACTGCTTGATCTGAGCCAAAAGGCCGCTAGGAACGTGCTAGTCTGGAGCCTCTCCTGCCAGGCTGCTTGCTCCTAGCCAAAAAGATAAACAACAACTCAAAGAAAACGAGTGTTTCCTGGTCTTAAGAGGTTTACAGAGAAGCCAGCCTCTGTTAGGGTCAGAGAATGAGCCCTGTAGGCCAGATGACATGGTTCCATGGGGTAGGGGTTGAACACCCCTGCTTTAGACAGTTTCTCCAGTATTACTGTCCCAAGCCAACATTACTTAGATCAGTAGGAGACTGGACATTACAACCAGGTCTTATCATTAAGAAATATTCAAAACACTGGGGGTGGGGCTCTGTTCCTGTCCTGACACCATCTGCAGTAGGGACCCTTTCATATATGCATCTTCTATCAGGAGAAAAGAAAGGGGGCAGGCCTCAGCTACCTC